GATAAGAGACAGACGACGAATAAAAAAGCTGCAGTGCGAGTTAATTAAATTAAATTTTACTTGCTATTAAATGATAAAAGAGTTTTTCTTTTTTTTCCTTGTAAGTACTGAAGCCAATAAACCAAACAAACATGTTTAATAAACAAGTCAGTATGTTAGTGTGCTATCATATTTTCGAAATATATATACAACTTCAAAATATTAATATATAAGTTAGATATGAACGCCTGTCATAGTAGCCACTGGTTACGTGTATTGTCAAGTTCTTTTTGCATTTATATTAAGCCGGTCGGTGGCGAAGGTGTTAAAGACTTCTGCCGTTTCCTAACTAAATGAATGCGTGTCAAGCGTTTACTGCACTTGAGTATACAAAAGCAGGTTAAAATTGTTTTAATGTATTTTAGCAGAGCTGCGTAGACAACCAAAATTATTCGAGTTTCTTGACATGTATTCCTGTGCGTGTTTGCTAAACAAGAAAATGATTAAGCAATGACGTGTTAGTTTTTTAAAGTTAAGCAAAATTCAATATTAAATTAAACAAAACTTTATTTAAATTATGATAACTGCGTTGAAATATTCAAACAGTGCAAGCATACATTAAGTTTATGTGCCTGTATGTAAGTAACACCAAGAAGAAGCTGAGATAGATTTTCATTTATTATATCGATTGATTCCGAATCACCTTATCAATCGATCTAAGCTCACCTGTGCGTCAGTCCATGCGTCCATCCGTCCATCTAATATTCTTGTGTTTAATCAAGAGGTCGCGATTTTTGAAAGGTTTTGATGAAATATGCTGCACCGAAAGCTTTCGACTCAAGAACGAACGCCAATCAAAATAATTCGGATCGGATCATTACCCATATAACGCTTTATATTGAAAAGTCATTACATGAATAACTGTAGAATGGTACAGGGTACACTACACTGAAAAACTTGAAATAAATTTCACAATTTCACAATGCAATAATGGCCAAGAAACTTTTTCAATTTCTCGGCATATAAAAGTAATGAGAATTTATCATAATAGAAAGCCAAGAGAACAAGAACCACATCTAATGATTTTTTTACGATTATTGCGATGAGCACTTCTAGCATATGCGTACATATGTGTATGTATATGTTTTGTTAGCTGCGGGCCAATCAACTCGTTACTCATTAAATCGTTTTACAAAGTATTATATACACCACGTGTGGTACAAGGTATACGAAGTTTGTGCGGATATATGTAACAAGTAGAAGGGCTTAACATAGACCCACCTTTTGTTATACCGACAGAGTCCAAATCGTTTTCTAAATCGATTTCAGTCTGTCTGTCCGTCTGATGTTTTTTCACATCAATTTTAGTTCAAATTACATGTCACAGGTCTTGAGATATTTCTATGACGTGCTTTGACCCAAACACTAGCTGGGTTCACTTTTTCAACCACTCGCCATATAATGCCATATTTTGGAATATCGTTCTTTCGAATAAAACTTAAATTTACAAAATTTCTCGATAAAAATCGCTAAGTGATAATATATCGCCAGTCTAAACTGGTGTGAAAACTTTCGACCGGCTGTCGCAACTTTTTGAACACCCTCCTACATAACGAAAACTGAACTTCATGCGACAAAAAAATCTAATTTTTAGTGCTTCGTGATGAAAGCTTCGTGATCATAACTGTAGAAAATTTGGACCATCTCGGCTTATATTTTGGATTCTAACCTTTATAAGGATTTTCACGAAAACCGGATCTAACCAGTCTACATTTTAATATACTATGATAAACATTATCCAATAATAATATTTTAATATAAAAATTAACTCTACAAAATTTGGACAACGTGCGGCTATTTTTGATTCCTATCCTATATGAAGATTTTCACGAAAATTCTTATTTTCTAGGGCAGAAAGGTCGAAGTTTTAATATTTTATGATGACAGTTGACCCATCATAATAATTTGATATAGAAATTAACTGTGCCGAATATTGAAGACCTACGTCAATTTTTGAACCTCTTGGGCATAACGATTCTTACGGAAACCGAGCTTTTATTTGCAAAGATGTCTAATTTTTAATATAATGCATATTCATAATAGAATGTTCATATAAAAGTAGGGTATAATTTTTGTGTTCTATGCCAAAAATAAGAATAGTGTTCGAGAATGTGGTGTAGGGTATTTAATAGCGGCCTAGTTCGACTATAATGTTTTCAATTGTCTTATTTGTATTCTAAATGCCAGCAAAGCAGTGATTACGATCGCCATTCGCACTGATCTGTTGGGGTGTGAGCGAGCATACTCAGCAGTCACATTCGTCACTTCGGCACAATTAATTACGGATGGTACACTAGAAAAGGCGGACCTTCAAAAATATATATTAGAGAAAAAATCGACTGTGCTACATACCCACACTACTCGCATATCAATCACAATCTCATCCCGAGATGAAAACGTTTGCGAAAATTAGCCTTGATCGCATATCGCAATATTTTTTTCAAAACAAGATGTTATAGGACGAATGGCCGAAAAAGTGTATTGATCCAAATCATTTTCAACAACGTTCGTCCTTGGGTGAAAATACGTCAGTGTACCAAACTTCATCAAAATATCTCAAAAATGTCGGTTCGTAGTTTGGACACAAATTTATGGGAACAGGAATCAGATGGACAGACAGACAGATCGACAGACAGACATGCTTAAATCAAATCAGAAAGTAATTCTCAACTTATCGGTGTAATAGAAGGTGGGTCTACCTCAATATCTTCTGGGCGCTGCGTATATCCGTGCAAACTTAATACGCTCTTGCACTATAGGTGCTGTAGGGTGTAAAAATATCTTTAAATAGATAAGAGCTTGAGACGAAACTAAAAAGTAAAAAATTTATAGAAAAATTTCACTTTTCAAACAAACGGTAGGAATAATAAAGTTAGCATGTCTTCTCCCTATGCCGATTATAAAAATATAACACTTAGTATTAACTATTACATCTATCATAATACAAGCTATAATAAGAAATTCGGCATTATAGCGACCTCTTCTGTCAAATATTGTAAGGCATGAATTCAGCTGGTGGACAAACCTTTTCTGGGAAACCGTTGGTGAAAAAGCTTTCGAAATATAAAAAGCAAAAGTCCCGTTATACCAAATACTGCATATATACCTATAAGAAGAATCATTTTGAGATGAAGCTTTTTTCATTCACATTGCCAGCAAAAAAAGAAATCCATAAATTATCATTATCGAAATAAAGGCCGATTTGTTAAACGTAGAAACGTCAAAAAGAGACAAAATTTAATTTCTTCAGATTGTCTACCGATTCAAATCAAAGAAGTTTTCCGATCTTCATACGCCAATAAATTGCAGTTTAGCTTAAGCCAGTTGGCTTTATACTCATCATCAGCTTTCACTATGACTTTTTATTCATTCAACATTGATATGGACTGACATTCTTATATGACTTTCTTCCCTTGCATGAGGATTAGCAATTCAACAATGTTTCCCCACCAAACTTATTATCTCTCGAACAATATGAATAGTTTTGAACGATTGATGTATATATCTTACCCCTCTGCGCTTCATATTTAAGTTATTGACACTTAATCTTTCAAAGAGTAGAGAGTTTTTATTTCACTTTCTCATAAGAGCAAAACTTAAAACCAAAGAAAGTTGCATTGAACTTCAATTACGTTTCATCAAATGAAAAACTTATAGTCGGTCGTCACCGAATATTCTTTACCCATCACCGTAATCCCAAGAAAAAAGGAAAAAAAAATTACATGTTTATACTCTACATTGTATTGGGCGGGCGCTCATACTTCGATGATATGTTTAAAAATTACGCTTAATACACAAATGTATGTTAGTGTGTACTGAAAACGGTACACATGATTAGAACATTGCATGGAAAAGTAAAAGGCAACAAATGCCATCAGAACAACTGCGTGAAACGGATAGAGACACAAATGCATATTAGCGTGTACTGAAAACAATACACTGGACTAGAACTTTGCACGGAAGAGTAAAAGAACATAAATGCAATCAGATGCAAATGCGTGAAAATAAACGGACAGATATTATCGAGTTTTATGCGAAATTCAAGAAATTCGGACACATAATCTCATAGTAGAAAGCGCTGAATGATGTTGCGTACTTTTGCGGAACTGCGGGAGGACTGTAGGAGCAAAAAGAAAATCATATACCCGTGCAGGTCTAGGTCTACACTCAATAAATCAAATACATCACTGAAGAGCGCAACTCAATAATGAAATTTCTAAAATTTAATTTAAGGAGGACGTTGGCAGTACATGGGCATTACAAAGAGCCGATCCGTTAACGAGATTGGATTATGAAACCCATGTGCATTTTTAGTAATTCCCTAAGTCTAATTCTTGCACCCCACTCCATACAACATTTCTCATGAATGGTAAGTCCTTCAGAGAAATATTCAGTTTTTAATGTTTTATGATGAAAATTAGTCCATAATAGTTACAACTGTGCCAAAAAATTAACGATTAACGTGGAATATGGATTAAATAGGTCTATTTCTTAGGCCTTAACATATATAAGGGTTATCATGAAATCATCTTTCTTATATGGAGATAGAAATTCCAATTTTCCCTCATCGCAACTGAGAAATAGGAAAATTTTTAGGAAGTGAATTAGGTTTCCTGAAATTGGAGCGCGTGCTATAATGTTTTGAACATTTTCCGACATGCGGACCCTCATGAAAAGTACACAGAATATATCTGAAATTTTTTATGTATTACTACCAACAGAAGCGACGATGTTGTTAAGGGCAGATCTTGGCCGTCTACAATTTTCTTACTTGCTATAATTCATCCCTCAAAGGCGGTAAATACCTAAATAGCTGCAGCTATCGGATTGGCGTCTTCGCATCGATATTCATTATCTTTGATTCTTGTTTCTGCCAGCTTTTATTGGCCATGTTAAACACATTTTTTATATTTATTTTTTTTTTTTGCTTCTACGTCTAAATTTTTTTATTTATTTTTTGCTTTTTTTTTATTTCAAACATAAACACTTGTACGAGAGAGATCACCTGGTTTAGACCAAAGCTTATTGATATTCCACACCATCCTTAAACCATCTGTTGACTTCGTATTTCTCATTAGCCGAGCATAAGTTTTGATATTTCGAATTTTTACCGGTCTTACAATCCTGAGCCGAGGCACTGCATGATTTATAAATAGGGAACTCCATCATGTTGGTAGTGGCATAATTACAAGCTAGCAAGAAATACGTAAAACCATTTGATCTTGTGTACTGAGAAGCAGCACAACCCATATGCGTATTTCGTTCGGCAACCATGACTGTGAAATGGCCGATGGCTCTGTACATTAAATATTATTGATATTGTTGAGTATATATATAATATATTAGGTTGAAAATTTGCAAGAAAGTGATGAAATTACTTACGGTCCTTTATAATCTTTTGGATAACTGTCAATATAGCCTTGGTTGCAGTCGTTAACTTCCTCATACCAACTGTCGACAGCTTTTTGTATCAATTGCCCGTAATCAGGAGTGCCTGCTCCTGATCGGCCCAACTCAGCCAAATTCTGACCAGCATATTTAAATGTATTTGTATTACGGCACTTGTCATGATTCATTTCACATTGTCTGACATTATATTCAGCCAGCTTGGCCAATTCCGAATTCCATTTCATAGTGGCCATGCGACAAGCTCGTTTCAGTTTCGATTCCCCGCCGCCAGCTACATTATCACGTTTCTTATTATGCGCGTCTAGCAAAGTAGTCTGATATTTTTTCAAGTCTATCATTTTTGCGTCCGACGAGCATCCACTTTGAAATACCTAAAATATTCACCAGGTGATATTTACTTTTTCTACATCATCTACTTCATCTACATTTTTTTTTTTTTGTCTTTCTAACCATAAAACCGGCAATTGGACGTAGGGCATCTCGAATAGAATTCATTTATATGTCCTTAAAAAGGTGAAAAATGAATTATTATTTCTATAAATCATATGCTTGACCGATAGGAATAAATTGTTATACTCGGTCAGTTTATATAGGTTCAATGAATTTTTATCCAACAAATAACATATATTTAAAAGTTTTATCTTTGATTTTTCAAACTATTTCGATGGTTGACCTATTAGGCATCTAGTAGGCATTATTGCGATCGGTCATAAAATAAGTTGAGTGAGATGAGATTTTCAAAGTCGCTTAAGAGCAAACAGAACGAATGGCATAATCTTGACGGAGCCACTGATTCGCTTCTCTGTTTATTGTACTGAATCTTCAATATGAACCACCCTAATATTTGTGCAAATCGCGTTCTCGAAGCCATTTTCGCAACGATTCTCGCCGTATTAAATATTCGCACCAAACTTTAAAACAATATCGACTCTCATGTGTCAATTACGAATCCTCGATAAACATTTCCAGTAATGATAATCGCAATAAGAGAGGTCTTTACCCTAACTGTTCCCGGAAAAATTGTAATTATAAGATATAAACTTTTACTCAGTACTCACATTTTGACTAACGCATGCAACATGCTTTTCGCACAAGTTGCAATAGTCTACCGATCCAGCACTAACCAGGACTAAAAGGTTTAAAGTCGCGAGCACGAATTTCATTTTGCTTCAGTTTATCGTGTAATGATTAAATAACTCTCACTGATCGAATTATTAATACAATTTTCAGTTTTTATAGAGAAATTTGGAGCCGATAATAACCATATTTTCCATTGTTAATAATAATAGTAAGTAATAGCAAGTGGTCTTCAAAGAGTTTCTAAAGAGTTATTCATATCTTTTATAATAATTGTAATAAAGCGCTATTTGTTTTTCATGTCTACTACGTTTTTCTTTCTTTTTTTTTTTTCTGTTGTGCTAACATTATGTAATACCATTAACAAATATTTAAAAATGCACTTAGTATTATTCTGCATTAGATATATTAAGTAATTGTTCATCTTTCAATTGCATTATAAAAATATGAAAATAGAAGGAATCAAGTCGAATATTTGATAGCCATCGTTTATGCAATGCACTTTTATGCGCCCGACTGAACTTTCATGAAGTTCGACTTTAATGGAGGTACAAAACTTTTCAAACTCAATTCAAGCATATAGTTCCGATTACTGGCGTCTGTCATAGATTGCATATAGAATAGGTGTACACTACTTTAGTAATAACTATGTAAGAAATTGTTTAACAATGACATTTGTGTTTGCATTTAGTGTAATTAATTTGCACACAACACGTAGAAACCCGTAATAAAAAGATAAAGAAAAAGATAAACTATATATACATTGCATCGAAGATCATCTAAAAAGTGTTCAGCCTTGTAATGCAGCAAATAGTAATTAATTACTAATAGTAATTAATATATATACATATGTATATCAAGTAAGCGCCTTCTGCTACGTCAGCAAGCAATGTCTGTCCATTTTTGAAATTACTTAAGACCAACTTAAGAAGTTGGTCTCGAAACGGTCTCAATCGTCTATCAAATCCTTTAAAGCTTCTATTCGAGTGACGTAAAACGTTAGAAAAACCTAGCCATAAACTGCCGTCTGCCCGTAAGTAACTGTTGATCCGACAAATAGCGATTCTCTTCTTTTTTTTGATTTTTGTTCTGTGCTCACATTGAAAGCGATTTCAGTCATTTCCAGATTTTTAACCGAAATCAAAAAAAAAAATCAGCCTTTTATGACGGTAACCATGATAGTTGATAATCGTTTTTTTTGTTTTTTTGTTTTTTGATTCCTGTATGAATTTCGCTAACGCTGAACGACTAAAATACTAACGACAGCTACTGTGTCAATGTTCTAAAACGTCCCAAATTTGCACCAATCAAAACAATAATAAGCACAAATAAACTGCCAAGTAGGAGAAGTTATACGCTATGCAAAATGATGCAACAGATTGTTTTAAACAATCGGATCTATGGGGACCGCCAACTCGTCTGCAGTTGACATTCTAATTACCGCCTAATAGAAATTCCTAAGGAGGCTTAACACAAATAATTATGCATTTAGTTCATCTTTGGACGATGAAGTTAGTGTCGTATAAAAGAATTTCGCAAGCAAAGTGCGACTTCACTAATACAAAGTTCCCTCAGTTCTTGTTCTCGTTTAAAAAATAACGATTGTTCATTTTATTGCTTTAATTACTATTAATATTATTATTATTATTATTATTATTCTTAGAGATAATAGGCAAAACATGTGTAATCAATGCGTATTAAAATATTGCAAATTAGTTTTTATTTCATTTCATTTCATTCGTAACAATTCCCCTCGTACTCTTCTCTGTCAAACAAGACATCTTTAATGATTATTCCCCCCGATAAAATTTGTAACGCTCCTATCACAATCATCTCAGATAAATTTATAGTCGACAATGCAGCATAATTGGATGCTCGCCCGTTCGTATGCTCAATCAAAAAAAAAAAAAAAAACGTTAAAAAATTAAAATCGGTCGGAAGCGAATCTTTTATGACCATTACCGTATACCCCCAAAAAAAAAGGACAAAAGAAGTAAAAGAACAAGATTTTCATGCTCTACAAAGTCGAGTGGACGCAGCTGTTATTTTTTCATTTTCAAAACAAAAGTTCTTGTCGTATAGCCATGTGGACAATGTAGGCGTGTCAAATGATCGTCACGCAATATAAAGGTCAGTGATCCAAGTGAAACGATTTGGCGACATCAATGATGTTATTAATGACCTATTGGAGGCGAATAACATACAAAGTGTAGGAATGCTACTCGCGCTATGCAATCGATTTGCTAAGACAGTCAAAGGCTATTACCGCTCGCTGCTACTTCAATCGACTGCAACGACTCCGAGTTACCTGAGCGCCTCCTTTGCTCTTATCCTGGATGGGCAACTTCTCCTTAAATAGCACAATTGAAGTTTACGCTAACGCGACTTGTCAACTTAACCTATTCTCGTTAGGTTAAGTTTAAAAATCATAAATAGTTCGACCTATAATTCGACACATGACCATGTGAGTTCCATGTGATATTAAGAAAGTGAAGCAATACGTCATCCGTTCGCAATGGGAATGGAATCATAGAAAGGGCACCTCGAGCATCGTTAGCAAAGAATTGCGATATTAAAAACTCGACTCGGATATCTGCATGAATCGAGAAGATGAATCGATTCAAGAATTTATTTAAATTTTATTTTAAAAAATTTGCTTTAAAAATTCAAAATTTGTGCGTGTGATTTATTGTCATCTCTAGGAATTTCACCGAAATTAAAAGGTGTCAATATATAGAAAAATATATTAGTCGACAAACATATATTTTTGAAGGGCGTTATAATGATCGCCATTATAATATTCCTTTGCTTTATTCCCATCATTTTCGCCCTAACTACTATCAATTATTGCTCGCCATCGTTATGTGAACGCGGTGTTAAACATATTGGTTGTAATCATGATGGCGTGAGTGCGGAGTGCAAGTAAAATTTTGAAAATATATAAATCTTGAAAAAATCTATAAACTTTTAGAAATTCGCACCTACTTGTCCGGCAAATCATTCCATAATTAATATCGATGATAAAATGAAAGAAATAATCCTTGACTTGCATAACGAAAAACGTAATTATATAGCTGGTGGAAGTGATCGCATACATACGCCAGCTTGTCGCATGGCCACCATGCAATGGGACAACGAATTGGCTTACTTGGCCGAGCTAAATGTCAAGCAATGTAAAATGGCCCACGACAAATGCCATAACACCAAGGCGTTTAGATATTCGGGTCAAAATTTAGCTTTACTAAATTACGTGAATATCGACGACAGTGAACGTATGTTTTCCATGGCTGTGAGCAAGTGGTTTAGTGAAAGTGAAAACACTCCTATGGATTATATAAGAGCGTATCCTGCCCATCTTAAAGATCGGTTTGTTAATTAAATTATTAATAGTTGAAATGTATTAATATTTCATTTTCATCATTGACAGAACAATTGCTCATTTCACGGTTTTAGCGATTGATCGTAATAATCGGGTGGGTTGTGCCGCTTCGACCTATTCAATTCCAGAAAAATTTTATCGAGCCTATTTGATTGCCTGCAATTACGCACGTAACAATGTGAATGGCCATCAAGTTTATAATATTTGTAATGCGGCCGGTATCAAATGTGTTACCGGGAAAAATCCGTCGTATCTCAATTTGTGCCATAGCGCCGAACCTTATTTTATAAATAAATGGATCTAATTGATAAGAAACTGCATGATATGCGATCAATATATATTTTGATGATGTTTTGGTAAAAAAAAAATTTAAAGGACGATTAGAGATTGGAATTATATAATTCTAGAAATTAAAATAAATATCGCCATGTATGTAAAAACGACAACGAACGAAAGTTTTCTTTTAAAGAAATCCCCTACAAAAACTTTTAAATTCATAGGTTCACACCTAATACATGCAAGCATTCAATCACAATAGAAATTAGACAACTTGATTCGATATATTAAGCGGGATTCCAAGGATAGTGTTGGATTAAATACATGAAAATTTCAAATTTAAGCGAAAAAAGGCCATAGGGTCACCGTCCACTGCATTACAATTGTGGGCTTTTGTTCGGCAATTATGAAATTGAGTCAAATTTCAGCGCTACGATACATTAATTTGTATACATCCGACCCAAGGTAAAAAATCTTTTAAGTCTTATGATTATTGAACGACTGAAGAAAGAGATGACAAGATCTCAAAGACCTTTTGCGCTCTAATTACATTAGAGGAGATGCTTCAACTCGAAAGCTCTTAAGAACTGCATAATACCCATTGCAGAAGACCTATGGTAGAGTGTAGAGTAAATTTCAAATTCCATTTCTCCAATTTGAGAGATTTTTGCCCAGTAAAGGCGATTGTAATTTTTCAAAATGCTCAGTTTATGGTTTTTGTTAAATGATTAGACATTTTCCAAGTCTATTAATAATTTTCACAAAATCCTTTCTTCTTACATTTCACTATTTAATATAATTTATGAAGTCCTTTTTAAACGCTTTATTGACCTTCTGTCCTTTATGCGATCTTGAACTATCTTTAACTAAAGCTTACTAAATCTGTAAATAAAAAATTGTTCAAATAAATTCATTATTCCACAGAGACGATAACATAAGAATGTGTTAGAGAATTTATTGCATATTTTAATGAGCTTAAAAAAATAAATTATTGCGGGAGCTTAACCGAATTAAACCTTTGTATATGAATGAACACGCAGCAGTATAGGCTTGAGCATTCGTTATGTTAATTTACTGAAATCTAAAGACAAGTTTTCGCAATTTTCGAAATTACGATTTTGAGCTTAAAAACGGCATTTGCAGGAAGTGCTAATTACTATCACTTGTTGTTGCCGAAATTTGTCGAAGAGATACTAAAACATTTGAAATGATTTAAAGGCGAAAATTCCGAAGATATATTGGATCTCCACCGAACTTCAAGAAATCATGGCGAACTGATAAATTATTAGTTGCAAAGCTTTTAAATAATTGTAATAACGAATACACCCCAATTCTCTTTTTACCCGCTTCTGCAATGCCATGATTCACCCATAAGAACAATTACGCTTTCTTACACGAAACTGTTGTTCTAGCACGAATCCCCCCCAAAAAAAAAACATTCTCTAATTCTAATTTTTTAACGAAATCAGAAGTCGGTCGGTCAGTTACATGTGTAACTGACATGGTCTAATACGGGGAATAAGCAGATTTTATGATAATATTTTCTTTAAGTTGTACTTTAACTTGAACACTACATTTCCTTATACAGTGTTTATTCTATTCCATGTTAGAGTCTTCAGTTCGTAGAACGCAATAAGTCATTTCAATAAAATTATAAAAGTTGATGCTCAAATAAAATTTTTTTTTTCTTTCGATAGTGAAATTTCCAGTGTAATTTGAATTGATGATAATTTCTCAATTTTAACTATACGCTGGTTAATTGTCATATGTTTTAGCGACTAGTTACATTATAATGTCTTGCAAGCAAATATCTAAACTTTCTAGCACTGGCCGTCGGTTGCCCTATTTCATTCTCGATATATTACAGAAAATATCGTAATTCATTTTTTCAATTATAATGATTAAAATGGGAGTTTTGAACGGTAATAAAAAGAATATTTAAAACAAAAGATAAACTGGATCGACTTCACGGATGTAAAATGAGTGCCACTTATTTGTAATCAGTAAAATTAAATGCTAATTTTTACAACCATGTGCTTTTTTGTAGGAGCTGTGTGTCAGCCACGTAAGATTAAAATTAACAATTTCTTAATTCATTCTGGTTGTAAATTATAAAAATTCGTGGTGAATCATAAAAAATATTACGCCATTTAATAATGGTGTATATAGACCGAAGTATGTATTCACTTAAAATAATAAATTGCAAAAAATTATGAAATTTCTTAAAACAGATGGTCGCGTCTGTGAAAGCCGACCTTGGGATTTGAGCCGCATAATTGACATCTTTACCGGTCTGTGGTTTGTAATAGTCCATTAGTAAGTATTCCATTTTTGCTTTGGAATTCAGGAAAATGTGGATTACATTGTGATTGTGTGTCTTCTTAGCTTTCAAACTTTAGTTGCTCCCTTTGTGCCTCGACGGGATAGTGTACGACGGAATACAGGTTGGGGTTCGGGTGGTGGAGGAGGTGGAGGTGGTGGGGGTGGTAATGGAGGTTTACGTCCCAATCGTCGCATAGGCCGTATAACTAATACTATGGATTGCAATATACCTGGGGGCGGGTGATCTCGATAAAGTGTCCAAGCACCCCAAGTTATGCAAGCAATGTTATTTACGAACAACACCAAAATACTCCACATTAACATTGCCGACAGCTTGGACACTGCAGAAAAGTTAAATACTTTTTCTTAAGCAACTTTCCATTTTGACAGCTTGCTGCCCGTATGACGAGACACTTGTAAACTCCTAAAAAGAGGGAAGTGTTTCTGACATTTTTAATGGAAGGCTTGCTTAAACATTAGTTACAAATTTTTTTAAGTTATAATCGCTGGATTTTTTCTCATTTTATACAAAATATTCTTTATCTTAATAGTCGAAGTCAACTAACTAGTCTGGCTTAAAAAATAGATTTTTATTTGATTATTTCAGTTTATATTTTATTTTATTCTAAACGATTATTAAGTAGTTAATAGCTGCTAAATTGTACATTGTAAATAAAGCAATCAATAAAAAAAAAATTTATTCATATTGAGACGGGATAAACAATAGAATATCAAAAATATTTTTTTAGTTGGGCTGTCCGAACAATGCATTGATTGAAATGATCCTTCATTTTTATGAAACTAAAAATTTGATATCTGCTATAGATTATAAGTTTTTGGCTACCATTCGGGCACAATCTTTTTAAACTTAATTTGTGTTTATTCGCTAACGAATATATATATGATCAGTTTAAAGCCTTCAGCACATCAACAACAAAGAAGCTGTCGACACTTAAGTGATGCGACATCTTGCGCTGATGAAGAATGCACGTTTTCAATCATGTCAATGCATTATATATATATATATATATATATATAAATAATTTTATATTACGTTCTCATGGCGATAAAAGAATGAACATTGTAATAAAGCATAGGTAATAAATTAGTTACGGTACTTATGGTTTATTAGTAGAACGTAAATTTACCAATGCTTGCTCTGCTGGCATTTTAAAGCAAATGTGTTTACAGTTTTTAATAAGCGTCATGGATTAGCAAGGCAACCTTAACTTCAATTTTAAGATAACTTTTAGATAAATAAGGTTTAAACGATTTCGTGTTCCAAATGTAAACTCTTCTCTTCGAAATCGTTGATAATCTCGTTTTGTACATTTTATAAAGAGACAGTTTAGCGAATCCAATTTATTTAGGACTTTCTAAAACTACAAATAAATACCACTTCGATTCGATTATATCGAAGTCTTCAAAAATTTCTTAAACTGTTGTTAATTTTTTTAGATGAAATCGTTTATTGAAGTGCGATTAGTTTCGTTTGGAGTTCTAATATTAGGTCATGCTTCTAATACACTTCCCAGGTGAACTTTACGATGCGTTTTCATAGCCGTTGGCTGTCAAAAACTCTGCCCACAAATTTCGCATTTGTACGACTTTTCACCGGTCTGTATATACCGATGATGACGCAATGTTTTTAACGTACCAAAAGGTTCGCCACAATAATCGCAAATATGTTTTTTCACCTTAAAATGTACCAAACTCGTATGATAACGCATATCACCTTTGGATACAAAGCGTACTTCACAACCCGCGTGCTCAACGCTCCGAATATTTGGAATGTGATCGCATATGACAATCTAGCATAAATCGGCGGGCGTATGTTACGTCACATTCAGGACACTCATAATTTGCTTCAGGAGCGTGATGACGAAAAACATGAATTTTAAGCGTGTAGGGTGATTCGAAAATTTGTGGGCATTTATCGCATTTATATTGCTCACGGTCGTCACTGTGTTTGTTTTTAATATGCTGAGCCAAAGAATACTGATTAGCTGCTATCAGACCACATTGCTCGCATATTATACGCAATTCTTCTTTACTAGTGAGATGCTGCAAAAAACAATGCTGCTTTAATATAGCGGATGTTTTAAATGATTTGAAACATTTATCGTAGATATAAGATTTCTGTTGGCGTTCCGCAATGTGATTGTCCAGAATATGAGCTTTCAAAGTTTTTCGCAAACTATAGGACCTTTCACATTGTGTGCATTTGTAAGGTCGTTTTATGCACTCATGTTCACGTTGTTGGTGAGCGTCGTATTTGTGCTGTTCATAGAAATACTTTTTGCAGAGATTACAGCGTATAATTATTTTAGTTTTCTTTTTTCGGCAAGTATTTAATTTTGGGGGTTTAGCTATTACTTTATTACTTTTATTTGTATTGTCAACTTGCAGCGTTCCCGGTTTATTTAATTCCTTCCCGATTTTCGTCGCACTTTTTCGAACCTGCTATTTGGCAGATACATTTTTGATATTATCGAAAGTTTGAAAAGTTACATCTTCTCCTCGCAAATCCTCTATATCAGTGGGCTTCCACGTTTCTTATTGGATGACCTTCACGCAATCCTGGCAGTTCTTTGGAGAGGATGAGTGCATTGGCAGTGTTTACACAAGAAGTCAATACATGATTGTCGTTATTAATTGCATTTACTTCGACCAGCGGCTGTTCTGCAGTTATTTCACTGTTTCGAATATCTCCGCAATTCTAGAAGAAAAACTTGCTATATAAATGTTTCAAATAACCGGATAAAACCACCGTCGCTGGTTTATATAGTTTTTCACACTGTAGTACTTTTTTCAAATTGTCATAGCTCTGTATAACAATTAAGCAGTAATTTTGAAAATCCTGCCATTTTTGAAGACATGAATGATATTGGTGTCCTCTATTTGCAGTTATGTTGTGCGCAATGAAATCTAAAAGCTGTGGATGCTCAACGATGTTTACATAATTATCGTCGTTTTCGTTTGTATCAATTAATTGCAATTGACATGTACCGCAATAATATTTTACATCCATATTTGTTAATAATTATAGGAAATTTGTAAACGCCTCATTTCCTTTTTACTACTGTATTATTTGAGTAAGCTTTAGAAAATTACGTCTTAGTAGTTATCGAAAACTTGGTGTACAAAAAAGGCTTTCAATCGCATTTCAGCAATTAATTTTTAGACAATTTGCAAATGTGAATTGTTTTCTTCTTCATATTTGACAATTCATTCATCGAGCATTAATGCTTTAAACTGCATGGTTTCTCTGAGCGGATAAAATTATTTTATCGATTCCATTGCTTTCTTTGATTTGTGTATTCAGCTTTCAAGTCATAAAAATGAATTTTGTATTAAATATAAATGTTTGCCGGGTTTGTATGAGAAATGAAATGTTTTGCGATATATTTAACGATAAAAGTTTATTAGAAAAATTCAAATTTACTACCCATTTACCGGTATGTATAAAATTTAACTCTATTACTATAAAAGTATTACAAGAATTTTTCGTGGAATGTAATCTTTTACATAGATAGTCGAGACGACATTGCTAGTGATGTAGAAAAATTAGTAATCGATTAACATTGAAATGGTTTGTAGTAAAATACTAAAATGGCTTTCGCTAATTGAATAAGGAATAGATCATTTTATGAAATATTTTTTAAATAACGCACACGCTAATGATGTTTCTTCGACCGACATCAGATGTTTAAAAAAATGTTCATCTTTTATCCGTTATTCGATTTATAACAGTATTGTGTGTTTGTGTGACGATTTAATCAACAACACTATTGTTATCAGTAAAAACGTTTGTTTTTTTTGACTTAGTAATACAGTGTGCAATTTTGTATATAGAAAAAATATTGAAATTCTTATAAAATAAGTGCGTGTTAATGATTTTCGGCAAACGTTTGTTTCGGACAACATCCTGTTTGCTGTTAGCAAGTAAATTGTCATTGTTCAGTTTTTGCATTGCAACACAAAGCTTGTGCTCGACATCGTCAAGCCGTCTTTACTCCAACTCCACCATGTCTAAACCGACATACTGCTACGAGCGTGGTAGTTCTTCTATAGCATTTGTTACGACTCCCGATGATGAGACAGCCAGAAAGATTGCACGAGGTTTGATCGAGAATAAATTAGCTGCCTGTGTAAATGTTATACCGCAAATTCGTTCGATATATATGTGGGAAGGCAAAATCAATGAAGACAATGAATTTCTGTTAATGATTAAGACCCAAAGCAGTCGCCTAGAAGATCTTACGAAATATGTACGCGACAATCATCCATATAGTGTAGCTGAAGTTATCACCACGCCTATCGAAACGGGCAATTCGCTCTACCTTAAATGGCTGGAAGACACTTTGAGAAAGTAAGCCTGGTCTATCAGTGTGGGGCGGCGCATGTTTTCATTTTCCAATTTAGAGTGAAATTTGTGTAGATCGAAGCACCTCTCTAAAAATAAAACCCATTTGCCTATTAAACTTAATAGAAAAAATTATTTGTTTTATTATTATTTGTAGTATTGTTGTTATTATTTCTTCTAGATAATCGAAAATGACAATTTGCCGACAGTATTGTGTTCAAAATGCCTTTTACACCTGAAAGTGTGCTATAAATTTATCAAACTGGCCCATGAAACAGAAATGAATCTTAAAAGTTTCCTACTTAAGGTTAACAGCGACTTTAAAGAAGTGTTGCAGAATAAGAAAGACAAAGCCAAACATGATGATTTGACAATTGATGAGGAGATGCTCAGATTATTAGATCAAAATGATGAAGAGTATGATAATGAAAGTAAATTTGTAACGAGGACTTCTCAAAAAACACCTGACTCCACGGAAAAGACATGCGAACAATCAAATGGCCATGAGCAACAATATGTGAAAAAAAACGAACTTAATGCGAAAGAATCGAAAGATTATGACCAATATCAGTACGGTAATGATATAGTCGTTGATGTTGAAGAAGAAGAGCGTTTATCAATGGACGAAATAGTGCCAGAAGAATCTTTCGAGAAACAAGAAGGATATGCTTATGAAGATAGCCAAGACTGCGTCAATATGGAGGCCGAAGAACAACCTCTTGACAGTGAATATTCAAATAATAACGAAGTTGAAGAAGACAAAACTACTCGAAAACGAAGCGAACAAAATATAAATGATGGTTACTTGCGAGAATATGAAGCTATGCTTCAGGTCAATAATTTACACAATAATACATGCTGCGCGGACGAAAATTCCTCCATGGATGCTGCATCCCTTCACAGTAACATCATAGAAATAGATTCGAAAGTAATGGAAGCCGAATTAGAGGATACGCAATCTTCCATAACTGAGAAAAGCAAACCGCATAAAACTTTAAATAATTCTTTTAATGCGACTTTACCGCGTTTCTATTGCGCCCAGTGTAATCGGGATTTTAGTACCAAAACTAATTTAAATCGTCATATGTCAGCGCACGCCGGCAACAAGCCGTACGTTTGTCACACCTGCAATAAAAGTTTCTCTCAGAATGGTTCACTTAAGCAACACATGTACACGCATACCGGTGAGAAGCCGTTTGTTTGTGAGATTTGCGATCGTGGTTTTACCCAATGCAAAAATTTAATATATCACAAGCGTAGACACACCGGCGAACTGCCGTTTCAATGCGATCACTGCCGGGGTACGTTTCGTCAGAAAGATGCTTTAAAGGTAAGAATTTATATGCGCATCACGTAAGAAATATTTTAAAAAACATCCGCTACAGGTGCACTTCTTTAAACATCATATGATTACGGAGCAAACTTACGACGGTCAATCGACCTATGTGTGCACTATTTGTCAGAAAAGCTATCACAATAAAGCAGATGTCCAAAAGCACATGTTCTATCACGTTAACAATAAAAATAACTTTGTTCTGACCGATGCCGAGGCCATACAACAGGAAGCTGAAGATGAGGTCCAGGATAGCATTTTGCCAGACAACATGAATGCAAATTTTTTAGTTAAGGAAATGGATGTAAACGATGTTGTTCTTTCCAAGGCAAACTGTGTTGTAGATGTTAGTGCTAGCTCAGCTGCCGAACCCAGTCGAGCTAAACGTTTTAAATGTCGTAAATGTTTCAAATGTTTTGCAATCAAGTAAGACTATTTTTTTTTTTTTTCCTATAGAGAATATTTAACGGATATTTTATTCACCCTTCTCAGAAAGAATCTTTTACGTCACCTGGCTTTACACGATATCACAACGAATACTATTAAACATCCTTGTTCTTTTTGTGATTTAACATTCGATACAAAATATGCTGTCTGCGCTCATCGTGCTCAGCAACATGCGAACCTGATTGGCAGTCCTATACAGTGTAACGATTGCAATATGGAATTTTCAACAATGAACTCTCTAATGGAACATCTGAGCAAACTGCATCAATATCAATGCTCCGATTGTCCAAGTGAGAACTTTCAATCATTGAATGATTTGAAAAAGCATATGTTAGATCATAACTATGAAGAAACAGAATAAATAAGTCAACTTTACTGCACATTCAAATATATTGAACATTAATATATATTTTTTTTTATTAGCAATATTATTTTTAATTTCTTATTCGCTACCAGCATACTTTAACCTTTATAAAGTCCTTCGCTCGCAAAAGGAGCATTGCTAGTCAATGCGATTTGGGCGATTTAGTGAAATTTTTGTGCTGATATCGTGCGTGCATCGAAGCTTAATTTTAAACATTGGAAATATAATTTAATTTTACTTATTTCAGATTTTTTACTTTGAAAATCGTAATTAGATTAGTTTATCGATATAAATTCGAGAAAACTGTAGTTGTCTTGTAATGGAATGGTTTTCAACATTTTCCTTTTTTTTTTTTTGTTTATTTTTAACATACTTATATATAAAACTACAAACATTTGTATATTTTAATGTTTTATAATAAATTGAAATTTTATAACAAATACATTTCGGCGAGATGAAATCAAAATTGTATCGCCCCGGGTATCAATTACTCTACTCCACTTTGTCGAACAGAACTCTGCATTTATTTTCGACATAAAATAATAAAAACTGTGTCGTCTTGCAAAGGTGCTAAGATTTACTTTTCATTTATATAGGAATGGAGGCAAAAAGAGAAGCGCAAGAAGTCCATATTAGTAAAGTTAATCTACTTATTGAAAAGCTGAGATTCTACACCTATTGGTGTAGTAAAATGTCGAAAAGTTAGGTCCTGTTGTCAAATAAAGGCTTAGTTTTCAGGAGAACTCTTATACAGAAGAGGCTCAAGAAATGGATTTATTTGATTTAAACTTATCATAGTAAGTCTTTATGTCAAATGACTATTTTGGGACAAAATCTTCATCATGGAATACTAAAAACATGAACTTGTCGCCAATAAATGCTTATATTTTGTATAAATGCTTATAAACGCTAGAGCTTACAAAACTGTCGCCGCACAACAAAATTTTTCGCATAAAATTTTACCTTTTATCGATATTTGTTATAAATACTTCGACTTGAGCTTATTTCGAAATAGGGCTATGTGGAAAGTAATCAAAAAATGGCCGATCCAAGACCACGTTTACGTATAAAGTTTTATCAAAGTATTTCGGCAATTGTGGTCTGCAAATTGAACACAAGAATTAACAAATAGATGAACAGGTATTCCACATAAAATTAATATAAGCTTACCAGAAATAGGGTAGAATGCACATATGGTTTATGAGCGAATAATTACGCAGACTTTTCCTAAGTTAAGGGCGATTAAAATGTCAACTTGTTTCTCATCTCTAAAAAAATCCGTATATTCTTCCGTATGCCGGCACATACATTTTATAGGTAGTTGGAGTCATATTTTAAAATAACCAATTTCTGTTTTGCTTCCTTTTTTTGTTTTTATAAATATATATATCTTAAGGTCTTTGCATCGTAAATGCATACAAGCGGGGATTTTCCCTGATCATTATCGTCAAAGCGTACATATACCCTCTAGTTTTTTGTGCATTATAGCCACAGTGTATTTGCCTGAAATTAATGAAATAAAGCCTAATTTTTTACGATCCTGAACGACTTAAGAAATCTTTCCATTTGCTTATGCATATTGTAAAGTGTGTTTCCAGTGCCGTACAATTCAATCTTATCAGAAGTGATTTATTTCGTAAAAAATTTTTATTTTGCAAAATTTTGGATAAAAATTTTCAAGATTTTCTGTTTTGCGAATATGAATGGAGAAAAAGTTATTTGTTTATCATATTATCATATAATATATATAATTTTTGAAATAACTTATTTCGATATATAACACATCTGTCTTAGAAGAATGTTTATTCACTGTAATTTGTTAGCTCACTATAAGATAACTGAACATCTGTTTTAGTCAAACTTAATGTGTTTTGTTTGGGAAGAGTAAATACTGCAACTTGAAATATTTAAATAATTTTGTAATGTAAAGAACACAAGCATATTGTATTAAAACATTTAATTTTATTGCAATGGCATTGAAAATGTGTAGGATTTGTGGCGACAATAAAGATTTAAAATCTATATTGATGGAAGGAGAAGAACTACAAGAAAAGCTTTTAATCTGTACTAATATAAAGGTATTTATGATTTAATATATGAAGAAATAAGAAATATACTGATTATATTAAAAAAAAAAAAAATAATAAAAAAAAAATATTTTAGATAAACATAAATGATTCCTTACCTAAGCACATATGCGTCAAATGTGAACAAAATCTAGAGTTTTCTTATCGCCTGCGTAAACAAAGTGAAGCCACCGAAGAACGCTTGAGAAAGGAATTAGAGGCAAACGTTGACCAGGCGACACAAATAATACCTCAAGAAAAGAAGGAACTTGATCTATTAGATGAATTTGTCCTAGATGAAAAAGTAGAGGAATTCATAAAAATCACTGAAGAAGAGAAAACCATTGCAGCTTGTATATCAGAACAATTTCAATTACAAGAAACACACGTTAGAGATATACGCGATGAAATTGAGGAATATGATACGAAAACTGATATTGTCGATGATGTCGTAAGCGATAACTGCCGCGAAATCTTGGAAGGAGCACGAAGAGAAGATGTTATCGATTTAATAAGTGAATCTAGTAGTATTGCTAATGATTGGATTCCTCCTACCGATTCCGAAACTGACATAGTGCCTAGTATTGATGATAAAGAATCAATGTTCATCTGTCTTATTTGTGGTCTCACATGCCACTTCCGTTCGAATTACAACAATCACCTCAAGACGCATCTTTCGTGTGATAAGATTAATGGTATAAAAAAGAGGCATAAATGCCCTCATTGCGATAGCTCTTACTCTCACCGCGCAAGTCTCAACCGTCATACCCGTACACTTCATCATGACTTAAAAACTTACACGTGTCCAATATGTAAAGATAATTTTGCTGAACCAGATGGTTACAAAAATCATATTATTTCTTATTCCAAAGACATTTCGCGCGATGGGAAGCGTTTGTGCACTGATGCGCGTATCAAAGAAAAGCCATATGCCTGCACAAACTGTAATAAAACCTTTTCTACCACAGGCGCTCTCTTGAATCATCAGCGAAATCACACTTCATTAAGGCAATATCAATGCGATCTTTGTTTGCAAGGATTCGTAGAGCTTTCCGATATGAAGAAGCATAAATTGGCACACGACAGCAATGGTCCATTGTTTTGTCAAATATGTCGCATGGGCTTCATTGAGAAAGGTAATTTGAGACGACACATGCGTAAACATGTCAATAAAATGCCATTCGCATGCGCTCTATGCTCGCAACAATTTTATACACTTTTATCATTGACAAAACATAGTACTAAAGTGCATGGACGTTCGGTGCCATATAACAATAAAGAATATAATAATATTAATGATCTTAGTAATACTGAAGAATACAATATTAGTAATACAGATATTCATAACGGCAGCAAAGAATCTTCGGAAACTGATGATGCGTCTGAGACTATAGACAATTCACAGATTGAAGAGAATGCAATATTGATTCAGAATGGTTTTGAGAGTAATATCATTAGTAGTAGAATATATTCTTTAGATTGCATTAGCAGCGAGAATAAGCGAATTTTAGACGCTGAACATAATCGACAGAATAAAGAATCGATTCAGAATGGATTTAATAATAGCGAGTTTATTTGTGGTGAAATGTACTCTTTAGATGGTAGTGGCAGCGAAAATGCTAAAATCGTTTCCGAAACTTTAGATTCAGAGCATATTACGCAAACGGAAGAATCAGTCGAAAATGCTTTTGTTAATGACGTTCAGATTAGTGGCAGAATATATTCTTTAGATTCTGTCGGAAGTGATAATATTGAACATGTTTCTGAAACTTTAGATGCTGAACGTACTGAACATAATGAACAATCGATCCGAAATGATTCCGATAATAATATTCTTATTAGCAGTAAAATATATTCTTTGGATTCTCCCAGCAGTGAGAATACTTTGAGCGCATCTGAAATTTCAGATAATCAACATATTGAACAGAGGGAATCATCGATTCCAGACGGCTATGATAACATCCTTATTAGTAGTGTCTATTCTTTCAATTCCGCTACCAATCATAACGTACAAGACTTTCTCGTAATCGAGTCTTCGAATTCAAATGCATCGGTAATTGATATCACCAACGATATAGAAGATGAGCCTGCAAGCCAAACAAGAACAGAACAAGTTAGTACTGGAGATATGCACTTTCATGGGCTTCTTACTAGGAGTACATAGTAAGCATTTATTACATTTCTTTGTGTATTTGTGTTAAGTAGAATAATTCAAGTAAAACAAAATTATAAACAATTTGACTTTCTTTATTATTTTAAACTAGTAAGAGATCCTACTTTACTATATTTTCAAACTTCAATCAATTTTGCTAATCGTTGACTTCATCATTCGATTTTTTTCTACTTTCGCAAATAAGTCTTTTTTTCATTACTATTAAGAAAAGTGATGAAAGTATTTCTGATTAGATTAACTTTCTGAATCAATTAAGAAAATGTCTACTTGCCCAACGTCTATTTAAAAAAGTGTGAAGAATGTCGTCGAAAAGTGATGCATGCCAATAGTAAAAATTAATTGCTTGAGATTATAGAAATTTGAAGGAAACTTGTTCTAAACCGTTTACTAAGCTTGCCAAAAATGACTATTTCCAAGCTGCAATAGTTTCTATGAAAATATTTTGTCATTTGGAGTGTTGAGAGTTGTTGTTGTAAATTTATCTTCGAATTCCGCTAATACGTTTTGGAATCCAATTATTTGGAGAATACATTCCAATACAAGGAAATTTTAATGGGTTCTTAGAGCACGCTTTTTTTGCATAAACTTTTGCAATAACTGCTTAACTGTTTTCACAAAAAAAATATGATTTCAGAAATTGAATACGTTTGTCCAAATCTTTACTCCAACAATGAATAGCTCGTGAAGTGTAAACTGCCAAAGCTTAAATGTTTTAAATTTGCAGCATTTTTGAAACAATGACGAGTCGTCAAAGAAACAAAAGCTTATCTTCTTTTGTGTATTCGGAAATTATTTTTTTTTTTTTAGCCAAAATGTTTATACTTAGCTTGTAGCCTTTCTGCAATTTGTTTTCTTTCGGCATCAAAATAATTTATTTGCCTTTAGCACTCCCGCATTTTGCTGTAGCGTCATAAATAAAAAGTTTTAGCATTGTATGCAGTGATGCATACGGTGGGTTTCAAACAATTTCCTGAACGTTCCAAAGGTAAGTATTTATTTTTCATTATTTCGCGTTAAATCACGTGGTTTTCAGTTAAAGTAGCGCTTGTTTCTCGTTTCTCCCTTTCTTGCTTACAATACTTTAGGTAAAGTTCGTTTTTTTCATCCAACATTTACTTATTATTATAAATGTTTCAAATTCATGCGTTATTATGGCAACTAGTACTAGTATGACAGGAGTGTTTGGACCAAATATTGTTACTATTCTGGATTCGTTGCGTAATACCCAAAGACTTGGGAAGATAGACGGCATTTTTCGGCACATCCGGCTCTTGAATAGTAAATTAACAAAGAAATCAACCTTAACGAATTTGGACCACGTAGGTTGATATTTTTGATTTTGATTGAAGGCCTAACTGATGATGATACTAATTTGACATCAAGATTGTGGAATGGAGCAAACTTGAACCATATGAGTCTATTTCTTGAATTCCTTTCACCATTTCACCAATTTATATATGTAAAATAAACGGCTTTGGTTTTCTTGAAGATGCCCTGCAAGAATGGCTCCGCTACTGCATTTTTGTAAATAATTAAAACAAAAAAAATTTTTCGAACACCTAAACAAATTGCCAAAGAGAATACTTTCCTACGCTAAGAAAGTGATTTCCCCCCTTAAAAATATTAACGCACTTCTTTCTTTTAAAATGTTAACTGTAAAATTATTCACTTTATTTAGTTTTGTTAAAAATCACAGTACACATCACCTTTTGTTCTCCTGTTATATTTTTGTCGATTACCGTTTCCTTCCTCTGACAGATTTTATTTTTCTTTTATTAATTTTAAAGTTTGAAAAATCATAATCCGTTGTAATGCTTTCTTCGCATCCTGCAAACTGCGTCATTAATTGGAAAACAACAATATTCGGAGGAGGCGGAGAAGATTGTGCTCCATTTGAAGCACCAAGTTTATAGCGGTTTTGACTATTCTTGATGAATTTTTATTACATTCAATAAATAAAAGTCATAAAGAAGAAGAAGACGAAAAATATTCTTTGAAATCATATGTTGAATGTCCTGATATAGCGTTAACCTGAGCGCTATGTTAAAAACGTGAGCACTATGTTAAAAATGTGACAGCTATGTTAAGAACAGGAGCATTATAAAGTGCTATTATATCGTTCGTATTTTCAAGAAACACCATTTAAATACGTCTTCCCTATGCGCATTCTCTCTATGAAAAGTAGACTTTCACCACTCTTCATTCAACTTATCTGCAAAAATTTTTGGCGCCAAATTACAAGCTATAAACAGTTTTTATTAGATAAACAAATAAGAACAGTGGGGCAAGACGTACCTTAGATACCTTACACCACTTCGCTTAATTAATAGCACACCAAAAATTATATATTATTTTTATATAAATCCATGATTTTTATGAAAGCTCTCATAGTGGGTGATGCTCAAACGTCAACGTGGTCTAAATTTAGCAAACCTAATTTGACTGTGAAAGATTTTATTATCTTCCTGTTGCTTTCGAAAAGAGAAAGAAAAAGAAAGAAAAAACCACAAGTGATGCTTTGTCGCCATAGAAGGGTTTATCTTATTGAAAGCCCTTTAAGAAGATCTATGGGATGAAAATTCCTTATAATTCATTTACTAAGGGCAAATTTTTTATTAGAAAATATTAATAATTAGACCTTTTTTGGCATTTAAAGTTTTACTTTTCATTATGTGGTGATGGTGGGGGTCCAAGAAATAGATCTACGAGGTGGTCAAAAAAATGCTGTGATCCGATCCACTTTTGGTAGCGTTCGTCCTTGGGCCAAAACATGTTAGTGTACAAAATTTCATTTACACATCTCGAAAATTGACAGGTGTAGGTTGAACAGAAGATTACATGGACAGACATCAGACGGACAGACCTGTTCAAATCGATTCAGATTCATTTTCTCATATAATAAAATCTAAGTATATCTTAAGTCCTTCTGGATGTTGCAAGCGTCCTTACTTAATATGAATATGAGTTTAGATTGTATTCGCCTGCGCTTGCTTGCAATGTCGTAAAATCAGCTGTTTTTACTTTCGTTGTGGGAGCTGTTTTTGAATTATTTTTGGATATTTTTCATGTTCGTCATTGTAACATTTTTCTTGATTATAACCACAGCCTGAATTGTTCATGTGTAATCTTGTTTACTTTAGAGACAAGACTTCCTTCCTGTGATTTTTTGTAACATTACTACATGTCCTTTAACGTACTTATATCTAACGTTTTGTAACATACCGTAAACTGCCGCATAAGAACGTGTACATTTAACATTTGACTCTAATTTTTACTTTTTTGAATGCGAATAACGTGCTTTACTAAATAAGCTTTAAATTAAGTTAAATTGCGCAAGAAACTTTTCAGTACGTGAATTATATTACATCTTATCTTATAAAATACCGTATAATGAATAATCAAAACATTAATTTATATAAATGCAAGTTATCCTTTGCTCTAATATATTTTTTAATAGCAATCATTAAATAATTTCTTCTAATAAAATATTTAACAACAGCGGTGTATAAATAGCGTACAATTTAAGTAAGATGCATAGTAGGCCAGAAGACTGTATCCTGTATTCTGCAGATTATTAATAAATTTTTTACGTGCCAAGACTATCTTTTTTTTTTCCTCGGCTTATATAAATTATGTTTTAAATGTTAGGCTCTCTAATTCTATTGTAACGCAGTTTTTCTCCACTGATAGATCACCAATCCTTTATTTCTGTCAAACAACCGTCACCCGCCATTTTGGTATCTTGACGGTTAAGCATAAATGTTGGAGATAATAAAAACATGACTATTTGTGATCTACTCTTCATCAGATCACTACGCATTCTTATTGAAATAAGGGAGTACAATGCAACGATATAAAGGGGGAATTTTTATTGAAAATTAACTAAAGAAAATATAATTACAATATTTTTAGTCAATTTTGTGGCAAATAAGCAAAGGTAAACGCATAAGAAACTTTATTTATGTATTCTTTTTATTCATTGATCATTTCCATTAGATTGTAATGTAAAAGTTTGCTAACACATTAAAGCCGGGATAAGATCTATTATATTAAAAAAATACCTTTATAAATTACCTTCAAATTGCTCCAATTTTTGGCGCTATGTGATTTCTTCTCTTTTTCTTGCGTTTTATTGGTGGTTTTCGGGTGAATTAACAGCCCTGTCTTAAAGCAAAATTAATATTGGAGAGTTTTGTTGCCAGTTTTGCTTCAAAATACGAAATGTGATACAAAGTGGCAGAAACTATGGCAGGCATACACAAGCACAAATTTTATGATAGTTGAACTATAACAATGCCAGAATAAGGCTGTAGACGCTTATAGACGCTTAAGACGCTAGTCGCCGAAGACAAAACAAAACAATACTTTACGTTATTACTTTTGGGTTACAGTAGATTTCACGTAGTTTTTCTTGATTAATTTTATGAAACATATATAAATATATGTATATATATATATGTATATATATGTATATATATATATCTAAATCTATACATGTTCAAAATCTGTTTTGTGCTATAATAATAAGAACCGTACTAACGCATAGTTAACAATCAACATATTTTCAAAAATTCAAAAACAAAAAATTTTTTTTTTGTTTTAACTGTAAGAACAATACGTTGATCTTATGTGATGTTGGTCGAATGAGTTTGGTGTATATAATGTGTGCAAAGTTTTGTTAATTTTATTATAGAAAACTAAAAAAAAAAAAAATAAAGAAATTATATTATAAGTGAAATTAAAGTAAATTTTTTTTTGCTTTTCCGAAATTATTTAAAAGCCTTTAATTGCAGACAAGCAATTTGTTTATTTACTGAAAGCAACATTTTATAAACACACTCTCGATTTGGCTTTTAATGCTTTTAATATATCGGTTAAGTAAAACATTAAAAAAAAAAAAAAAACTTAATTTCGAGTAAACAGAAAGAATGTTAAGTTATTAATCTGAAAAATCCCTTCAAGTTTACATTTATTTATTGTTACTATCGTTGTAACTTGTTAAATAAGAATCTTAATAATCTCTGGCTGCATTGGAACATCCGAAATCTTCAATCATTGCACTTACCATCTTTTCATTCGATTGCATTAGTTCAAGAAAAAGGTAAGATGTTTTTATTTCAAATAAAATAATAGTTTTTGTAATAAGTGCAAGTAACTGATGTTTTTTCCCTCTGTGGCAATAACGAAGCATAGACTATACTGGAACTAATGATCGAAATAAATTTGTACGAAATGATGGACTTGGACGTCAAAAAGTTATATTATATTTAATTTTTCGCTGGTTGCATTTAAACGTTTAAAAAAAGTTATAGTCGTTACAGATTGTCGACTGAAACCATTCGGTGATAGTGGGATGATAATGATTTACATCTCCTCTATGCCATGCTACTCCATTATCAACAAGTGCATGTTGTCTAAATAGTTTTGCTGTATTAAGAATTTTGTAATTATAAGCTGAAGCCTTAATTAAGGTCTAGGAAGGCAGCTTCACACTCGCATAAGAACGTTAATAACGTATGATAAAGGGATAATTTCATCAGCACCTTTGAGAAAACTTTTTTACAAACACTTGATGTATGAAAACATCGGAAACGTTTATTTGTGCCTCTGAATAAATATTGGATTAGGATGAGCATTGAATTGTCATTATTAATTATGAAGACTGAATTGATTTAATTCAAAATATTTTTATGCAAAATTTACATACATATATATTTAATAAATCGTCACATCATCTTTAGTAATATCAAATTTTAGATCAATGCTTTCATTGCACAAAAATGTTTAAAAAATAAGAAGGAAATTTTCATTCGAAACAGGAGTAATCCGAATAATTTTCAAGATTCAAAGCTTAATTAAAGGGATTTCGAAATATTTTTTACTTAAGAGCGATTCAAAATTCATGTCTGACTGTTATCCTTTCATCAATTAACTTCCGGTGCCCTTAAAGGACCACGATCCATTGAAGATATCGAAACTGAAATTTGTATCTTAGTCGTGGCAGCTATTAAGGCATCGGTGCATCAAGTGCGCCTAAAAGAGTGGGAACCAATTATAAATGCAATTTCTTATAGGTAGCTTCGTTGAAAATGAATATGTATATGAAAGTAGTTAGCATAAGTTAAACTTGACTTTCAAATTGGAAATTTTTTTTTGTCCTCTTTCTTGACAGAATTTTAGTCTTATAACTATTAGTTTGAATAGCAAGTAGAGGATTTTTTTGTAACTTTATATTGAACGTGATTCGGTCATTCAATCATTTTATTGACTTGACCATAAAACAATAACACAAAGCTCTTTAAAATTATGATTATTAATAGCTTGAAAATTTTCTCGTTTATTCGGACTAACTGTGAAAGATCGCCTAATAAGTCCAAATTAATATTTTAAAAACATATGTTAGTCTAAAGATTTTAATGATATTTGTGTTACATTTACATTATGTTTTATTGAAGTTTTAAGATGTTAAATAAAAACTACTTGAATACTTGAACGTTTGATGAATGATTTAGAGTGAATGTAAATGTTATTAATCAACATTTAAAATAATACTCAAATTGTAATCTCATTCATTTAAGCTATCCCATCCTTTGAACCATTTAATGATTATTGATGATCTGATTGAATGCATAAACAATCTAATGAACTTTTTCATTTCAATTCATTTAGGTAAACATTGTGTTTTCTCTTCACTTGATTTTTTGATTTATTAATGAATCGTAGAAAGTGGACACATCTTCACATCTTTTATACATGTGCATAGATTTATATACATTTGTTTAATAGCTGGATTCCTTATAAAATCGTCTCAAATCATATGTCCATTAAAATGTGTGATATTTTGGTCATTAATTGAACACAAAAAAAGCAAAAAAAAAAAAAAATAAATAAAACTTTTAATAAAACATAAAAGTAACAATTGAAATTATTTGCAAAATGGACAAGTAAGAACACTGTAGCCCATTAAATACCCGACATCACCTTATTATTATTATTATTCATATAACGACTATTAGGCCTTATATGGGAAGTGGCGGACCATTTTCAAAAGCGTTCATTCGTGGGCCGGCGCACGGAACTTCATTAAAATATCTGAAAAAATTCGACCAGTAGAAGGAACGTAAGAAAACTGGACAGATGGACAGGCAGGCAAGCTTAAATCGGTATAATAAAAGATGAGTCCATCTCAAGTCCTTCGGGGTATTGCATGCATACGCACAAGATTAATATGCCTTTATGCCACAAGTAGTGTAGGGTATAGGAAAATAAAACAAAAAAATCCACTTCACAAAAAAAAAAAACGTACTTAATTCAAATAAAAAATAAAAAAAATGAACACAACAATACAATATTGTTTTCGACATACATTTACAAAAAGTGGCTACGAAAACAATAAATAAATATTAAGTGAAAATTCATAAGTGCGTATGTAGTGCAAATTGGATTTGTCTTAGCATATACAATGATAAGATCCAGGTGCCGAATACATTCTTATTAAGGGGTAAGATCACAGTAATATCTTAAATATTTATTTTGGACCGAAGTAAAGATAATAAAACAATAATATTGGAGAAGATTATTAAGCATACCGTTAAGTCCTAAAAGAAAGAAAAAGAAATTATTTTTGCAAAATATTAAAAATGGCAACAGTCACGGGTTTCGACGTAAACACTACCCATTTGATTTAAAAGAGGAAAACAAAAAAAAAAAACAAGAAATCGCTTAACGTAGATTCCTATATCCGGAGGATCACTTAAAAATGCTAATTTCTAATTGAGTTATCGGAAATATCCAATGTATTTGTTCAAAGCATATTGTTGTAGAGGATACTTGAAAAAATTCGAATGAAAAAAATGAAAATTGTTTGTGTTAAAAATCCTGTCCAGAGGAGGACGCATCCAAGGTTTCAAATGTCCGTCTATTGCCCAAGAATTAACTTTAAGGCTTCGCAACGGCCTCAATTTTCTTTTCACGTCTCTCTTGAATTTTTTAAAAGATCATATTGTTTTTATTGTTAACCACTAACACTTAAACATCCTTAACTCCTTAAATAAAATAATGATAGTAATAACAAAAAAAAAAAAAAAATCTCTAAAACCCTTTGCTTTCACTTTTATTATTGTAAATTAACAAAAGTTTTCTAGGTCAATATGTCTGGAGCGATATGAATCTCGTAAGAGCTTAAAGAGTGAAAACATTTAGGTGAGATTTATTCAATTCAATATTCGTAGCCTCTCGTCTAATTACTTTCTTTTCATAAAACTTGGCCAATGTAGATATAAAGCATAAGCTTTTCAATCTTTTCAGAGTTCTTTGCAAGAATCGAAATCATATTTGTTCTCTCTCTCTCTCTCTCTCTCTCTCTCTCTTTCTTTCTTTCTTTCTTTCTCTCTCTTTAGTGCACGCGTCTTGCTAATGCCGTACTTGAATTAATTTTTTATTTTTAACGGTTCATACGATCTATTTAAATTTAATATATTTTTTTTTATTATCTATTAATTTTTAAATTTAATGTATTTACTATTAGGTTTAATGGTATATTGTTAGCTTGGATGCACGTCGGCTGCGAGACTGCATTTCTGTATTAGATGTGTACATCCATGGTTTTTTTTCTTCTCTTGTTTATTTATACATGGAGTTTGTTATTCTTTATTTTTATACCCATCGGCAAGGGTTTAGGGGGTATATTCATTTTATCGAAACATTTGCAACGGCCACGACGAAACTTCAGAGATGCCACATCAAATTAGCATCAAATTCTGAAATGATTTAAGCATGTCCGTCCGTCCATCTGGCCATCTATTCGCCTATATAAAGTCTATTGTAAACATTTCCCTGGACGCAAAAATGAAGCTATCGTCTTCAAAGTTGACACAAATATTGGAAGTTCTTGCACGCAAGTTGTTATTGAAAATGGGCCAAATCGCCTTAGCGAACACGCCTACAGTGCCACGTAAATTAAAAATATCTCTGTTTTTCAAAAGGAATAAACTGTACCAGGTAAATGTGCGAAAATTCTTTATGGGCGATGCGATAATACTTATAGGAAAATGGAAACAATCGACCATGCCTACCCAATATTATAGTGTATGAAAGTATCATTCTTTTTCAATATATTTTTAACGCCTCGTAAGGTATATAAATTCTTGGGCAATTTGAAATTCGGAATGCATCTAAGCATGTCTGTCCGTTTGTCTGTCCATCTGTCCGTTCACGCAACTTTGTAATATCTGGGGTAAACAATGCTTACAAACTTGCAAAAGAGTTTGAAAATGATCTAAATTGGTAAACTAAAGGGTACCGCTATAACCCCCATACACCTATGCAACAAAAATTGTGAATAAATTTTGCTTTCCGTGTATTTTGGTTGCTACTCTTATAGTACAAAACATATGCCATATAAATTTCCATTTTTCTTTCGAAAAGAGAAAAAACTAGCCACGCCCAACCAATATAATACAATATGAAAATTTGATATTTTTTCCTTTGTTTTTAAGGTACAAAAAATTCGGTCACGACTGAACACAATTTCCTTACTTGTTTTTTTTGTTTTTCTCTTTTAATGGGGTATAAAAATTACGTCCTAATGTTTAGCATAAGACTTATTTTTAAGAGTTTTCACAAATTATGAATCATTTTGTCGGAATATATTTCTTCCACATGTATGTTCTTGGTGGGGCACTTCTCGCGATAACTAACGCAACCTAATTCTCAGCTGATTAACTTTAAATTTGAAGCATGCAAGATTTCTCTTCGAAAATGTTATTTATTCAGTTATATATAAAACTCACCTAAAATATATTAAGAGTTGAATTCAATTGACTCTTGAAAGTAAATCTTATACTAATCATTATTGAAAACTAATACGAAGTATATAAGGCGAAGTAAAGAAAAAGAGAAAAAAATGATAATAATAATAATTAAATAATAATTCAAAAGAAAAAAAGTTATGAAAAGAAAAAAACGCATATACACAGCTAGCACAGAAGCACATCCGCAACTGGTACAGATCCAACTTGCAAGTGAACCCCTCAGCCATTGCAAACATGCACAAGCTTGACAATCGATGACAGTAAACAGCACCAGTTAGGTGTCGAATCA